AATTCAATTGGTTTGCGCCACGATAAAGTCATGTGACCGGAAAATTTTTTGTGGTATAATTACATAGGTTATTTTTTGTGGTATAATTACATAGGTTCATTCAAGACGTGCGGTGGTGTGATCATAGTTCTGAACTGGGTAGATATATGATAATGAACAAAAAATTAACTTCACATGGATCCATTATGAAATCGTATTTTTGAATTTTTACGCGTAAATCTTATATTACATATAAAATTATGTTTCGTCATTCGTCATGAGTTTCGTCATTCGTCATTTCGTCAACTCGAAGTTGTCTGACGAAAATTTCGTCATTCGTCAGGTATCATTAGTCCTGAGACAGGCCGGATCGATACAAAGTACTAGTGCTCTGATGTTGTGGAACTTTCGGCCGTGAGTACAATACTTTACCGATATGAAAAATTAAATTATCATCACTCATGGTATATTTGAGAAGAAAATTACTACATATCACCACTGGTGATCATCACCAGTCCTAAGATTAGGGTTAGAAATTAGATTTTTTTTTTTTTTTATATAATATAATATAGAGCTACTATAAGGGCCCGATCTCAGTTCTCGTGAGGTTTTTGGGGGTCCTGAACATTTTTACTTAGAGTACCCGATCCCGTTTACTTAGTACATTTTTGAGAAATAGGGACCTATGGTGTTGAACACCATAGGTGCATTTTAGTAGACCCGTATTATATTTATTGAAAAGTTTTCAACTTATCATTAGTAACGTTAACAATAATAGCCAACTTCTTTCCGACATTGAATATTTCAAGAAAGGTACAAAAATCCGAATCTCTATCGATAGACAAGTTAGAGTTTTATCTATTTCATCAAATTTCAAACAGCCAACGAATATTCAGAAAAAAATATCGATCAATTTGAAATGAAGGGCATAAAGAATGATCAATTGTAAAGAGTACATAAACTATCGAAGAACGTCACAAAAACAAACCAAATGGTTAAAAAGAAATAGCTATTATAATGTCGAAATTAAGTTTATTTGTATTATTCCATTCATTAGATATGTGTTGTAAATTAAATTAAATATTGCTTTATATTATCAATATAATTGAAAAATAAAGTCTTAGTAAAAAGAAAAAAAAAGTAAAAATTCGAAGACATTTTCCGGACCATCATCCGAACCCAACCTGGTACACATTTTCTGGGTGCCAGAAATATGATCGGTGACGTAAGCTTTTTTACGTAGTAACTTGCATGAGTCATAACAGATAACAGATAACGTTTACGAAAAAAAGTAATACAGAATTTAATAGAATTTAAATACAGATTACGTACGCACGTACGGAATCTGCCGCGAATTCCACATTTTATATACGGAATATGCACAGAGAAATGATACAGATTACATTTGAATTGCATTTATCCGTGATCTATGTACGTACTCTATTATTACTTTAAGCGAAATTCATGTCATCACTTCTGTTGCGGATTTTAATGGCGCAGAATGGCGTAGAATGGCGTAGAGGTGTCAATTGGGATTCAATTTAATTATCTTGCGCAACTTTCCAAATTTGGTTTAAAGATTTATTAACGTTAATTTCGCATTGTACAATTTTATTGTAAGTACGTACGTACGTATATTTATTTATATCATACGTGTTTTTTTTTGACTCAAAATCAACATTACGTTTATTATATTCTACAATACGTTAACAATACGTTTATACAGTACGTATTAGAGTTATGTCCAAAAACTTGGCTATTGCGAATGTGGCTATTACGACATACATACGTCTATTATATCATTTTTGGCGTAACTACGTATCTTTTTGACGTAGCAATACGTCACCAAGTTCCAGTGCTTTGGGAAGATGCATGATAAGCTTTAAGATCTTGAACATTGTAAAAATTTGATATGAATCAACATTTTAATAAAGTAATCACATGTAAAAATTTTTATTTTCAGTATGGAAAGTTTTTTGCCTTCTGTCACACAATTTGGAATAAGCTATACATTAAAAAAGAAATTGATCTTTGAGGAGGTGGGACAGTGTACAATTTAGACGTCCGATTCTCATCTAGCTTATACATCCATTTTAAAATGTATGCATACATGCAAAAGTAAATTCTGAACAACTTTAATTAATAGCTGACGTCAGAATTTTGTCCGAGCTGTCCAGTGACAAAACCAAGGGGTATACACTAGATTCGGTATTTGACATAGAAGATTCTTGCACAATTCGACTCTTCACACTAAGAATTTAATTATAAAAAAAATCATTCAAAATCTAATCATCTTTGTTCAAACAGTGTTGTGAACAAGTTGTGATATCTCATGGATACTCGATTCTTTTCAGTGAAAGGAATCGGATGGTATAAACATCGTACAATTTGACCACTTGATCGCGAGACATCTCAATTAGTCACTTCGTCAATATATCATTGTCTGCATTATTTACCTTAAATTTTTTTAAAAATTATGAAACTGTTCTATATCAGCTATGTCATATTTAAAAATGTAATTTCTAATACTATAAAACAATTTGCGATTAGTGACCCTGCTTATGTAGGCCATACTTAGTGTCTCTTATAAGTAATGTAAATTTCTTGAATATTAGCGAGAACTTGACTTTCGAGATCTAAAGCATTACAAATAAAATGACTTATAAGATTATTTTCTTTATTAATATATTGAAAAATCCAAAAGGTTTAGCGGGTGTTTCAGTTTTCTGTCATTAGCATCTATTCCAGTTTATGTTTTATAGTACTAATTAAAAATCTTTAATGCTGGTTAAAATGTTGCATCACTTCTCATTGATTAAATCCATTATTTGAGTACGCTGCTTACTATATCTCTAATGCTCTAATGATTAAAGTTTGTTTGACATTACATAAGAAATTATGCAAGAAGGTATGGCTCAATTATTTACAAAAAAATAACTTCTTGTAATAATCATGTGTGAATTGTTATAAGAAATCGATAAGTCGATTTCGCGATCAGCTAAACAAATTAGCATTATCCAATTTTTTCGTTATTGCCGGGATCACTACTTTGAGTTTGCTTTTCGAGTATCCTTACGGTAAACTATTCGTTCAATATTAAATTATAAACTTATCTATTGCTTAAAACTCTAAAAAAATAGGAATAGCTAATCACCTTTTCAATATCATCTTTACTAAGGATAAACTCTCTCCCTAATTTACGATCGGCATTATATTCTTTGAGATACTTATTTACATTGGAATGATGTTTTTTTGTTGAAATATGATCGAAAATATGCTCACTATAATAAGAAAACCATTTCAATTAGTGTTAAATTCAATTCTTGACCCTATTTTTTTGAGAAAAGAGTTTAAGCTATACTAACCAAACAATCTGTCTTTCTTCACTTTGACAGGTAGGCTTCACTTCAATTTCACAAAAAATACACCAAAAATCCGGTTGCTTATTTGTATCATAAGTAAATGTGACATCTTTGATAAAAATTTTGTATTTTTGGTATTCCTATTGCATTGTTTTATGAGCTAATGGTCAATGGTTAATAGTTCGGTTTACAAAAGAAGCACGCTCTACGTACAGATTTTTGTTTGTCGAGCTTTTTTTGTAGGCGTTCCTGATGAAATTTGGTGTATAAATGTCTTTTACCTTGGCAAGTGTTTCGTTTGCAGATCGTGCAAAATGAATAAGCCATTTTTGAAAACGTAAAGTTGAATCAACTGATTCAATTCAATTGATCTTGATTGTAAACAAATAAGCCAATCATCATCGACAAATTTTGAAAAACATATTGTATATATATATTGGCGTTTTTTTTTTTATTTCCTTCCTTAACCAGCCTTTTTGTTAAAATGACTCAGGAGACGAATCACCAGCAGAATAACCAGCTCAACCGTAGTCAACCTTCCCCTCAATTAGTCTCTCTTCTCCAAGGCAAACTTAGCACTTTAGTAGGCAAATCATCTGGTTATATTGAGAATCTTCCCGAAGATGTAAAACGTCGCATCTGTGGTTTAAATTTCTACCAATCTGAACATGCAAAATTGGAAGCAAAATTTCAGGAAGAGATCCTTGCGTTAGAAAAGAAATATTTAAAACTCTATCAACCTTATTATGAAAAACGTGCAAAGGTTGTTCGTGGTGAATGCGAACCAGCCGAAGAAGAGATTACGGCTGGCGCGTCGCTTTTCGAAAAAGAAAAGGAAAAGCAGGCGCAAGAAGGAGATGAAAAAAATAAAGATATACAAGGTGATCCAGCAGCTGAAAAAAGTAAAGAAGTACAAGAAGGTGATGAAGGCCCCTGCAAGGGTATCCCTGAGTTTTGGCTTACTGCCATGAAAAATTTATTCACGATTTCAGACAACATCACTGAACGCGACGAAGAGGCATTAAAACATCTAATTGATATTCGCATTTCATATCTTGAAAATCCTGGTTTTCAACTTGAGTTTGAATTTGAAGAAAATAAATTTTTCTCTAACACTCTTTTGGTAAAAACATATTACTATCAAGATGAACCTGGATATGGTGGTGATTATGTATATGATCATGCTGAGGGCACAAAAATTGATTGGAAAGAAGGCAGGGATCTGACTATCACAGTTGAAACGAAAAGACAAAAACATAAAGGCAACTATTCATTGAAATAAATATATCATACTTTTTCTTTTTGCATTCACATATATATAGTTTACAATTAGTATTCTATTTATAGGTACCAACAAGACTCGAGTGGTAAAGACTACAGTACCTGCTGCATCATTCTTTCAGTTTTTTAATCCGCCTCCGCCAGATTGTGAAGAGGAAGATGATGACGATGATTTGGATCAGCGTCTTGAAACTGATTACCAAATTGGTGAGGATATAAAAGAAAAACTTATTCCTCGTGCCATTGATTGGTATACTGGTAAAGCTTTAGAATATGAAGATATGCTTGATGATGATGATTACTTTGACGAAGGTGATGACTATGATGAAGGTGATGATTATGATGATGATGATGATGACGACGGTGACGATGAAGGAGTAAGTAAATGTCTTAGGACATCCCTAACAATATTATAAAGTTTTTTTTTTTTTTTTTGTTCTACCAAACGTTCGTGGTGATATTTAGTAAGTATCTGAAAATACTTCAATTTGAAGGGCGTTTAGTTGAAAATAGGTTAAGGCCACGAAAAAATTTAGGGCTGCTTTGTATGTTTGGGAGATGTATTTATTAGCTTCCCAGGAAAAAATTAGTTTAAAATTCTAGATTATCTTTATTTTCATGATATATTTATAATTAGCTTAGAATAGTTAGTATAACATGAAGATTATTAATAAGGTCATAATGAATCGTAAAGTTTTTGTTATCGTTTTTTCCTATCATTTTACACTTTATTATACCGTTACATTAGCTTATTCTTTCTATCTCATTTTTACATAAATTGACATGTATCTTATTATTTAATCCATAATATTTGTTTCTCTATCTTTCAACTTTTTGCAGGCCGGCGGAAGGAATGGGGAGGTTGGTAAATATATATTTTCAAATTATTTGATCTCTTTAACTCGTAATGAGATTGTTTTTACGTATTCATGCAAATTTTCGATTATTAGAGCGACCTGAATGCAAGCAACAATAGAACAGACTTACACGACAATTGATTTATTGGTTGTAATGAAATCCCTTTTTACACTATCTTTTTAAAAATCCTTCCGTCCATGAAATTTACATCCAATATTTCATTACTAAATAAATTCATTATTTGTTCAATTGTGGAAAAACGTTTATATGGTACTAATAGAATCAATAATATAAACAACTTGGTCTATTGCTGGTGAATGATTAAATGGAATAGAAAAAATTTTTGAATATAAATGTAATCTCTTTTTAAGTTTCGATACAGATTCCACAAAATATTTAGAAATAGCAAAAAATACAATAATTGCAAATCACGGCACACAATAATTATGTAAATTCTTTCTGTAAGAAAAAATTAGTACATTTTATCATGTATTATTTTCACTTTACACCCAGTAATTTGATCTGAATACAATATGAAAGACATAAAAATTAGGAATTATATTAATAATATGTGAAGATAATTTGATCAACAGTACCTGAAACTCAAGGGTAGCATTCTTCGGTATAACTATAGATTGCAAGAGACCTGAATCAAACTGCCATTGTTATAAACATGTAAGTCAACATAATGGACAAAATGAACTAACCTGGTGGACTTCCCGCATTGCCATAAGCTTGTTGCGGTGGAATTGTTAATTTACGTTCACCACCAATTCGCATACCAGAAATTCCTATTTCCCAACCTAACAAAGTTTTGGATAACACAACATTATTAACGGGATTGGAAATCAATTATAAATAATATCATATAAAAACTTACCTTTAATAACTTCTCCTTTACCTAAGGTAAAGTGGAATGGCTTCCCACTAACATTTTTATCAAAAACTTTGCCATTCAAAAGTTTTCCGATGTATCGGACTTGAACCTAGAAAATATTTAAATCTGTTTTAAAATAATATTTGTTTAAATAATTTAAAAATTTTTAACCTTCAATCATCACTACCTGCTTGCCAGGTTTTGCCATCTTTCCTCTACCTAATGAGAGGTCTTCGATTAAAACACCTTCAGGAGTTGTGATACTTTCCTAAAAATTATAAAATTATTTTAATAATAATTCATAAAATTCGACTCATAACAAGCCTTAAAATTATTATACCTTCTTCTCTTTAGAATCAGAGTCCATTAGGTCTTTATTTCTCGGTTCCGCATTTTTATTGCCGTCTTCAGTCTTTAGTTTTTCAGATTCTAAGCTATTTTTTGTTAAAGTTTCGGTTTTAACATCTACCGGGTTTTTTTTGTTTCGTTCTTTATTTTTTTTCTGTCATTTATAAATTAATTAATTAATTAAAAAACTACATTTATGAACTGAAAATAAAAAAATCGAACCTTTTTTTGTGCCTTTGATGACACATCTGCACTCTTGGATTCAGTCGACACACCTGCGCTCTTGGGTTCAGTCGACACATCTGCGCTCTTGGGTTCAGTCGACACATCTGCGCTCTTGAGTTCAATCGACACATTTGCGCTCTTAGGTTCATTCGACACATTTTCAGTCTTTTGTTTTTTTGCTGCACGTACATTTTGTTTATCTTTATTATCATCATTTGTTCTTTTATGATGTTTACCATTTTCATCTTTAATTTCTTTTTTGATGATTACTTGATCCGAGAAAATATCTCCCTCGCTTAAATCTTCATCTGAGTCATCTTCTGTGTTGGCTATTGCATCTTTACTCTATGTGTATGAATTCGTTGTATAATGCTATGGATATAATATCACAAAGTGTAGAGCTATTGTAAACCCACTCACTTACCTCGAATGACGATGATTCGGACGATTCGTCATCAATATTGAGCATTTTCTTCACGTTCATGTCACCATTCGGCTTACATGTTATTGAAGAAGAAATTTCTTCAGGTTTGCTTTCTGAATCATGATCGATTATTTTTATATAATTTCCCGTCAAATGTATCTTGCTGTGATTGACAACGCTTTGTTAAGAACTAATCATTAACATTCTATATATTTAGACATGAATATTTATATTCGCATCTTACTTGTGTCCCACAGAATATAATTTAACATCCTCTCCTTTCAATAAAGTAACATTTAAATTTTGTTGCTCATGCTTATTTTAAAGTTTGAAAGGATTTAAAAAAAATTATCAAAAGACAATTACAAATACAAAAAAAAAAGTTTAATCTCGATTTACCACTCCAGAAATCAAATTACACAAAACGAACTTCTTATTATTTGTTTCTATAAAAAGGGTTGTTCGAAGATCTTCTTCTGATTCTTCAAGTACCAATGCCGCCTTTAATCGCATTATCATTGAAATTTGTCATGGATAATGTTTTTTTTATCAAGTTTTACACGAATTCAAGAATTCTCAATATATACCATATATATTTTAAAATTATACCGGACATTTTGGCTGTATGTGAGTCCGGGTTCGATCTCAAGACCTAAATTAAAGTAATATTCAAACTTTAGAATAAAATCAATTAATACATAGAAAGTTATCAAACTTTATATATACCCCAAAAACCTTTCGGAACCTTCATTTTGAATCAGTGAAAAAAAGATAAAATTTTCTGATTACGATAAATATAGAATTTTTATCAATTACCGATTAGGATTAAGCACAATTACATAAATAATATAATAGATACGATTGGTTGGATTATGTGTACGTACTCATGCAGTTTTTATAGCTTACTTCTTGCAATTATATTGTTTGCATCATTAAATTCATCGGTTTATCTTGCGTTTTTGTATAAATGGGAATTAATCTACTAGTAATTCTGGCCGAGCTTAATTTTTCGGCTATGGCCAAGCCGATAAATTTTATCGGCTTAGTCGGCTTGTTCAAGCCTACTACTATACTATTTAATTTTGTTCTTTAATCCGGAATTTTTCGGAATTTACAAAAATTTTTTGGTTCAACTTTACAGGTTCACTCATTTTCCATATCGGAAATTTTTGTAATTGCCGATTAAGCCGATAATTTTCTTTAACCGATTTTTTTTACTATTGGCCAAAAATCATTATCTACTACTAGTCTTTAACGTTATTAAATAATAAACTTAATATAGTAATTATTTTTTATATTATTTTAATTATACTGTAATTGATAGTCTTTAATATCCTCTATTATTATAGACAATACAATTTGTGTTGCTTTGTTTATGCCAACAGAGTTAACTTTATTCATATGGGCTGATTTATGGAATTGCTAATAACTTTTGATCTACCACTTTATTTTGAATAATTTTACTAACAAAATGTTTGTCTCGATGAGATGATTCTAATGGATTTAAAATTATTAAAATCCAATCACAAGATTTCAAGATAATTAAAATTTTGTATATATAAATTTACTATTAAATTTTAAAGTTACTATATAATATTAAATAATTTTTGATATATTAGTCTGTTTTAGATTATTTAACTACCAAAATATTTGTTTCAATAAGACAATTCCAACAAGCTCAAAATTACCAAAATCCAATTACAAGATCTCAAAATTATTGAAGATTAGTATTATGTAGATAATTACTTAATACAATTGGTTTTGTATATAAAAATCAATTGTATTAAAGGTGCTAACAGATATTATGTAATATCTTTGGAGAAGGAGATTAGGTCAAAATTTTATGTTATATCTAGAGATCTGCAAACTGGGCTCGTGCCTGTGTCCAACAAAATTTCAAGTATGGGCATGAGCACAAAGACTCAAGCATGGATATAGGTACAAAGAATCAGGCATGGACATGGGCACAACAATTTGGCATAGGCATAGGCATAGGCACAAAAACTTGGCATGGGCATGGGAATAGACACAAAAATTTAATATTTATTAATTAATTGTGTCTGACACTTTGCCTAGCACTTATGTCTGGCACCTTTTTGCCTAGCATATTGTGCTGTATTATAATAGTACTTGCTACTTTTGTGCCCATGCCTATAAAATGCCTAGCATTTGTGCCCATGCTTACATTAATATCTTGGCACTTTTGTGCTTTAGGCATGGGCACAGCATAAGGTACTAGTGTCTGGCCTGGTGTCAATATGCCTGGCATGTCTACTTGCAAAGCTCTAGTTATATATAAGATATGGTGAAGTTAAAATATTTTTGATCATAACATATTAATATTATAATTAAAGTTGAATGATTTTGATATTATTTAATTTGTCTCGTTAAATGATACCAAAATTATTTAGTTTTAATTACTAGACCACAAAATATTTTAATTTAATTAAATATTTAGTTATATAGATATTATAGTAAATCAAGGATATTTTATATTCTTATAATCAGAACCAGAAAAAATTTTAAACAAAATTTATATTATTTGATTCCTTTTAATAAGAGGAATTAAATAATATAAATTTTATTTGGTTTTGATTATAGAAACATAAGATATTTTTGTGTTTAATACTGTATTTAAATAGAATCAGATAAAATTTACACTATTTAATTCCTCTTAGTTAGTAGAATCAAATAGTATAAATTTTATCCAATTCTAATTATTAAATCCCAAGATAATTCAATTTGCCATAATATTCTCCTTTACTATAATATTTCTCTCCTCTTTATATATTAGGCCACACAAACTTATACTATTGGTTCTCATAACCCGGCCGGGTCAAATTCAACAAAAGTTTGAAAAAATTTTTTACTATATTTATTATCCGGGTGAGCTTTTTTAAATTTTTGTAAAAAAATTTTATATGTTTTTTACATATAAAATTTTTTGAAAATAAAATTAAAAGCCGGGTCGCCGGGTCACAAGAAGTTACTTGGTGATATGAAAACCAATAGTATAAGTTTGTATGGCCTTATATATAAATACTATATAATTTTTTTTTTTTAAGTAATTCTGTTTTTAAACTACTATATGATTATTATACAAATAACAACTTTATAGTATGGTATTCTGTTTTAATAAAAACTCACCAAGTAAATGCCCAATATAATTTGCTATAACAACTATTAGTCTCTTCTATAATTTAAAACTAACTTTGAATTTTGTAACAACAAAGATTACTTCTAAAAACATTGTCAGAGTGTTGTATACTATGTTAGAATTTCTTTTTTCTCTTTCAATTCTTCTTTTTTCTCAAGAGATATGAGACAAAAAATGAAATTTTAATACCAAATAAACTGAAAACAACCAAAAAAAAAGAAAATACAGAAAAGAAAAAAGAAGATATTACATCAACTATAGGAACTCTTTCTGATAATTACTCAGTTCAAAATTCTTATAGAAGAAAAACACAAATTTTGTTGAAGAGTTGTGGCTTAACATAGTGGTTTATTTAGAGGTTAACATCTGCTAGCAGGACTCCTCTATGGTGATATTTGGCATGCAAGCCAAGAGCATTATTATACAAGATAATTGGCAGGAGGTACCCTTGTATAAAAAATCTTGGTGGAGAAGAGAACTCTTTGGACACTTCTCTCTCTTTGTTGACGAAGCTCTTAAGCCGTACTTCTTTGAAGACACTGGGAAACAACAAAATATCCTGTTATTTTCTTCAAGCTACACTCCTTTTACTAGGTTAAGTGGTACCTTATACTCTCTTTTATCCTTCTGTCGGTCTTCCAAAAAATTTTCAACAAAAAGTGAGAATTTGGCTTACCCCTCCAAAAGATTGACATTCTTTACTTCCCAAATTTGAACAGACTAGTGGAATGCAACCACATGTTTGTTTACGGACGAATATAGCACTTTTTCATAGGACTTAGTCTGGGAACTCTAATTACGGCAGCAGGTGGCTTGAGACATGAGTTCTCAGACAATGGTAGCACCTGGCTTGAGATACAAATTAGAACAGACAACGAAGCTATCCAGAGTTGATAGGAAAGTCAGAAAGTAAATTTAATGTTAAAGTGAATACTTTACAAAAGAGATATACAAATGTTGCATTTGGTATATAATTTTTATCAGCCTTGTATAGGTTATAACAGTGCCTTCAGGATTTTAGATTTCTTTTTATGTTTTTTTTTTTTCACAATCAGTATTTCTTTTTTCTTTTCTGTTTTTTCTTTTTTTCTAGTCATTTTCATAATTCTCTGTTAAAAATTTCTCCCTTTTTGTCTCGTGCCTCTTGAAAAGAAAAAAGAATTAGAAGGGAAAAAAGAGATCCTGATGCGGTTTACAATATCCGGTCAAATGATCAAGAGAATATCCTTTGTCAATACAAAATATGAAGTGAGTTTTGGATCCCTTTGTGAGACTAATAGTTGTTATAGCAGATCGCATTGGGCAATACTTAGTATACTTGGTGAGTTTTTATTAGAATAGAGTATTACACTATTTCAGTAATTACTTATGTAATAATTGTATAGTAGTTCATAAAATAAATAGAAGCAGAATTGCTTAAATACAAAAAAAAAAAAAGAAGATATTAATTTCAAAAAAAAAAAAAAAAAAAAAAATCTAAGACTTTAAAAGCACTATTATAACCTATACAAAGCTAATAAAAATTATATAACAAATACAATATTTGTATATCTTTAATATAAAGCTTCGTCTTAATATTAAATTTACTTTCTGACCTCTTCAAATAATATTATTGCCCATTCTAACCCATATTTTAAGCCAGGTGCTATAGCCATCTGATAATTAAAGTTTCTAAGCCAAATACTGTGAAGTAGTATTATATTTATTTATAAACAAACATGTGATTGCAATTTACTAGACTGTTTAAATTTAGTAGATAAACATAGTGATAGTATTAACTTTTAGTAAGCTGGCTTAGCTATAGCTTTTGAGCTAAGCTAACAAGCCAGCTTAAACTGGCTTAAGCTAATATTATATAATTCAATATGAACATAATCAAATAAAAATAAAAAATTTGATATATCAAATAGCATTCAGATAGATATATCAAATTTTTTATTTTTTGCAAGTATAAGTCTGTGATATATATATATAGGCTGTATCATCACTTCTGATACATCATATTTTATAAAATAAATTAAAAAGCTTATTAATAATATTA